TGGTCTGTTGAACGAGCCAGAGCACCCAACGAAGCAGCATGTTCTTCGTGCTTACTATGAGCGCGCGTACTCGGAGATCCGTGCAACTGGCAACGACTGCGTGTAAAATGATATCGTACAGCTATTTCCCACCAGCAAAATTAAGACACAAAAGTGTTTAGGCTCTCTAATCTGATAATTTTAATTGTTCTCCAACACGTACGCGACGCTCCAGCAGCTCGACAACTGTTCACCTTGTGTAGCAGAGTTAGAGGACGTGTAGCCGTGGTCGGGTGAAGGCTTGGTGCGGCGTCAGGAAGGGCTCACGCAGTGTCCTACGCGGCGGAATCAGCAACTCGTTCCTTCTGAACGAACTATTGGTGGAAAAGAGATGGGTGGCATCCCTAAAGAGTGATGGTCACTGCAGTTTCAAAGTCGAAAACAGAGGGTGACGTCGAGGGGTTGGTAGAATCAGATCTGAGAAGTGTTTGTTGAAGTTGTCACTTTCGACAGCCTTTACTCAATCGCAGGTGCCGCTGGCAGTACCGCCGGCAGTGCCGGAGCTTTAGTTAAGATTTCTTGCTGCATCTCGTACGGTGTGAGCACCAAACGACTGCAGCGCAGCGTGTGCTTCTGCTCCCACTCGCCGTCGGGGGTCCGGGATAACGAAGTAGTAGGCTACAAGGCGCTTCGGGTCCAGGTACCAGCCTGATCGGCCCTGAATTGTGCACGGCATCGCTCCTAGCACGCCACAACTCAGTGCGTCTTCGTAAAGGGCGAGGCGGAAAGAGATGCGGGCGCGATAACCGCGAAACACAGACTGGATTCGGAGCACGGACTTGGTTGTGCGATCCTAACAAGCAGGTAAAAATACGTCAGTAGTGTTCCTCGCAAGCATGCTCTTCGTTCGTACAGCTGAAGAGCGTGGTCGTAGCGAGACGGTGCGTGGGCTGGCTATACTAATCTTCTCCTTCTTTTCCGATGCAATCGCAGCATCCACCATGTCGACCAGATCGAAGAGTGTCTCGGCCACATCGGTCTCAAGCTCATCGTCTTCGTCATCAGCCTGTTCAATAAAATCGTCGCCGTAGTCCTCTTCTGCACTGTCGAGATTAGTTGAATCGAGCACGTCTTTGATATTTATGACAGGTTCTTCATCTTTGTTCGCCCGTGATTTGTCTTCTTCTTCTTCGGCAAAACCGTGATCCTCTTCAGCACTATTATCAGCTGAATCGTGGGCGTCTTTCATGTCTATGGCCAATACTTCTCCAAAACGCCCTCCGGAACTATCTTCTTCTTCAGCAAGGCTTTGATCTTCTGCTGTAGTGTTGGTTTCAGCTAAATCGCGTACGTCGTTCTTGTCGATGTATGCGTCTTCTTCCTTTGCATGGGAGTCCTCGTTTTCGTCCACAACGACTTGATCATCGTGAGCAGATTCGCTTCCTTTGCCTGTATCTTTATCAACTTGTTGGGCCATAGCTTTCTTTCCGTTCTCGAAAGATTTTGTCATCTCTCGCGAAACTCTC